GGACTCCAGGATCATGACCTGAGCCGAAGGCAGTCGCTTAACCAACTGAGCCACCCAGGCGCCCAGGAATAAGACAGTTTTTAAGGGAAGGATAGTTTCTAAATTGATTAAGACAACAGTCTTCCTATGTTGCTCATTAATATTCTGCAAAATTTCACACAAAATTTATTTTCTTTTGGGGTATAACATATATAAGTACATTAATCTTAAGTGTATAGCTTAATTATTCTTGATGTAGATATACATCTATATAATTATAACCCAGACTAAAATTTAAAACATGTCTAGCACCCCCAATGTTCCTGTATGCCCCCCCTCCTAGAGCTAAACACTATTCTGAACTTTTTCATCCTAGATGAGTCTTGCCTCTTTTTGAACTTATAAATCACAATGTATTTATCCATTCTCCTATAGATAGACATTTTACTTGTTTTCCATTTTTTGCTGTTATGATTATAGAACTGTTATGAGCATTCTTGTACATAACTTTATGTGGAAGTATGCATTTTTTCCTCTTAGGTACATACTCAAGGAACAGAAATGCTGAGCCACAGGCAGGTGTATGTTCAGCACTAGTAAAACTGCCAAGATGTTTTCCAGTGTGGCTAAACCATTTTACATCCCCAAAGGAGCTTACACACAAATAAATCAAATATCCAAACCAAGCATATTCTCCATACCTTTTCTTGTAATTTAGCGTTTGAATTTTCTAAATCCATCTGCATATTTGATATTTCATCTGTCTTCTCAGAAACAAGGCCTCTGAGTTTATCAATAGTTTCCTGGTGCTCTTTCACATGCATGTAAGCAATTCTTAGTTCCTCTTGTTTTTCCAGCTCCTTTATCATTAGAGAAATTTTAAGAATGGTGACACAGCTTAATATTAACTAGTATTTTTTTTTTCTGAAAGTGATTTATTTCCTTAGGATAAATAATAAAACTATTACTTCTTATTCTACATCTTTGTTGTTAGGAAGTTATAAGCTTTCCCTGCCTCCCTTTCCCTGTCCTCACCTCCCTACAACCTACTCCTACCTTTGAGAGGCAAACACATGATCCATATACTATTCTACAGCTTGCTTTTTCTTCTAAGAGTGATTTGGGCTTCCAAATTAGGACATTCAAATCTATTTCTTCTTTTCTTTCTCTTTCTCTCCTTTCTCTCTCTTCTTTCTTTCTTTTCTTTCTCTCTCTTTCTCTTTCTCTTTCTTTCTTTCTTTTTCTTTCTTTCCTTCCTTCCTCCCTCCCTCCCTCCCTTCTTTCTTTCTTTCTTCTTTCTCTCTATGTGTTGTATAGTATTCTGATGTATCGCTCATATTTACCCAGTTTCCTTCTCATGGACATTTAGATTGTTTCCCACTTTTTATTACAAATTGTTACAATGAACAACCTTGTGGTGTATGTGTGTTTGTGTACGTATATAAATATACATGTTGGATGAAGTCTACAAAAAAAATACTGGTTACAGAATTTGACATTTTTAGAACAATATCAAATTACCTGCCTGAAAGTCTGTATCAGTTCACTCACACCAACACTGCCACTTATGTCAAAGAATGGCTCACTGCTGTCAGGAAAACATCACGTTTACTCACTAGTATAGGAAGTGACTTACTTTAGCTTCTTTTTCTCTGAGGCTTTCCCTGAGCTGGTCTCTCTCCATCCTAAGGGTTCCCTCTGCGCTTCTGAGGCCATCTCTTTCCTCAGTAACACATTTTATTTCTTCAAGGTTTTCATGAAGTTTCTGACTCAACTTTAACTTCTCAGTTTCTACACTTTCCAGGGTTGAATTCTGGGCCTCTAATTGCTTCTTCAATTGCTCTGTTTGATACATACTTTCTCTGAGATCATTTTTTACCTTCAGAAGTTGATGTTCTTTCTCCTGATGTTCTTGGATCTTGAGATAATCATACAACAAATTAAGATATAGATAAATATTGAAAAAAATGCTAAATAATACTTTCAAAATTAAGTAGGCAAATCTTTGTCTTCAATTTCAGGCTAATTCATATCCTGTTTCATTACACAAAAGACCTAATTCAAACTCGCAAATAAAAAAAAATACCTGTGCTTTTAAGATAGCATTTGAGTTTTCTAAATCCATTTGCATATTT